AAGACGCACACGCCCGCCACCAGCGCCAGCAGGCCCAGCAGCAGCCCGAAGATGGACCCGTGCAGGCGGAAGGGCCGCGAGCCCGGGTGGGCGCTGGCGTGGGGGGCCGGGCGGCGGCCCACGTTCTTCCACAGGACGAAGAGCACCGTGGAGCAGAGGAGGCAGTACTCGGTGCCGAAGGGGTAGAGCATCAGGTAGCCCTTCTGGAAGACCTCGCACACCTCGGCGTTGAGGCACAGGCAGGTGTTGGTGCCGTTGCCTGGAAGAGGGGAGGGAGGAAGGGGACGTGGCCTTGCTCTGGAGAAACCAGCTGCACAGGTCAGTCCCATTCGCCCCCTGGAGTATGCCAGAGGCTGAAGGCACCCAGCCACCCATTTCACAGATATGGAAACCGAGGCCCAGAGAGCGAAATCAGAAATCACAGGATGGTCATTCCTTTACAGAGGGATCCCAGACTTCAGGTGTCAAGCTTAGGTAAAACATTTAATGCATGATGTCTTTGGTGCCAAATGTGACCTCTACAGATCACTTGTTGGGCACAAGTGGAAACCCGTAGCGTCATAATGGGAGGATCTGACTGCTACACCTGCACCCTCGGCAGCACGCACTGTGGGGTGATCGGGCATCTAGCCTCACCATGAGGTGCCCTGCAAGACGCCCAGCCTCACTTGGGGGAACCTGGTGCCAAAAGCGCTTAGTCTGAATCTAATAAATACTTGGCCCAAACCTCCAGTTTCTAGGAAAAGCAGGCAGAACAGGTCAAATGCCACCCCTAGGAAGCAACTCAACAAATCTCAGTGTCATTAGGGAAAAAGAAGCTGCACGACCAACTGCGCTGCGTATTTGAACAGACCACCGTGAAAGACATTGCATGGGCTGGTCAGAAAAGTTCATGTAATTTGACGTAGCGGGTAGGAACGATGTTAAGGAACTCTGTTAGAAATTGTAATAGCCTTGCTGTCGAGCAGCGAAATATGCTTATTTCAAAGAGGTGCACACTAAAATGTTTGAGATAAAATGCCATGGTCTCAGTAATGTAAGTAATTCAACAAAAAAATAAATATAGCGAAATGTTCATCCTCATCGCGTGATGGATAGGTCTTGCTCTGCTACCCACCTCTGTGTTTGAATTTATTAATAATTTAGCAATCTATGGTGCTACTTGCAAAAAGTTCCCTTTGCACAGCCCCTCTGAGCAACGCTTGCAGGGTGTAGAGACCGAGTGCAGTGCGCAGGCGTGCAGGGACTGACGTGGTGGGTGTAACATGCGTGGGTGCGCTGGGAAGGCCTCGCTGTACACAGGCCAGGATGGTGATGCCACC